TCTGGGACTATGCGCTGCTCTGGTTTTTTAAACTTCAGTTTTTTAGACCCCTGGATATCCAGTGGTCTAATTTTCTCCCCACACTGCAAACTTGCAGCATTGGGAACATTTTTTCATTCCTGCATGTGCCTCTTGCTCTGCCTCAAAGGGGTTTGAGGCAGGGCAAGAGGAACATTCACAGTCTTCTGGACGTGGCCTAAGAGTTTTTAGTCAGGAAGTAAAGGTGCTTTGAGAAAGCTGCATACAGTTCATAACACATACTGTTTTTACCTAGGGGTTACCATCTACTCAGGGCTAAGGAGAAGAAAGCCAAGTAGCCTCCTTTCTCCTTCTTCTCTGCTGCCTTTGGGATATTTTTGAACACTTTCATGCCTGTTTCCCCCTTACATTGGAGGGAGTATTGAACCCTGAGACTGCTGCTGCTGCAGAGTAGATGAAAGAAATCACATGTGATTTAGGGCATGAAAACAAAAGAAAAACACTTTAAAAGAGCAAACCAAAACAAAAAGACAACAACAAAAAGCTGTCTTTCAAATAGGGGTGGCCATTTGTAGGGGCAGAGAGCAGGGGATGGCAAGAAAAAAATAAAGCAGTGTTTCTCAGCCTTAATTGCCACAATGCACCCTGTTTAAGCTTGAGGAGGTAAACTCCATTTCTAAAACTAATTTATTTATTACAGTGCTTACATCCTTGCAGAGGGACCAGGTAGTGAGGTGAAGGAATGCCTAGGCAGGGAGGGAGCCTGAGCCTGATCTTAGTTTATTTTCTCATGCTTCCTGCCACACTTCAAAGGATCCCACAGCACCTCAGGGTTTCCCAGTACCCTGGTTGAGAATCACAGAGTTAGGGAGTTGCTATGTACTTTTGCTCCATTAATACATTGTTTATTTTTTGTCTTCTCAGGAATGTGAGATGCTGTGTCTCATGAGATTACACCAAAGATAAGAAACAGAAATAAATAAATGCTAGTGGTCTTCCATGTTCCAAAGTAAAATGGACTTTCTGTATGATCCAGCACAAAGACCAACCTAAGTAAGCGGATACATTTATCTGGCTTGTACAATAGTAACAGCAACCCATAATATTTCTGCTTTTTGGTTTTATATAAAAGACAATCGCACAAGTCTTATTGTTAATTGATTATCTTCCACTCAAAATGAGGCTGCCTCCACTGAACCTAATTGTTTTCACAGTATTGACCAGAAGCAATGTTCAGGTGACTCCTAATTCAGCTGCCATTGCCAGTTCCCAAATTCTGTTTCCTCCACAATCTGCATAATTAGATAATGGAAGAAATGACAGGTAACCTAACTGCAAAAATATATTCCATTCCTTCTAGGGATCATTAGGACATGAAGCTTCTAGCCTTGTTCTATATATTAATAATCACCTACTAGTTCTGTTCTACATGTGGGCATATTAATAATCATCAATAATATCATGTGTTTATGTATACATAGTGTTGAAGCAAAAAGAAGCATTAAGCTATTAATGTAGGCCCTGTGGTACTTCATTAGATCAATTAAGAAATTAAAAACACTGAGTGTTGGAATAATCCTTGTATTCGCCCCACAAAAAATAGGTGTTCAAGGTGAAAAAAGGAACAAAGACATTTCCCTTTGGAGGAATGTGTGTGCGCTTAACACAGTGAACAACCTCAGCCTGCAGTATGTAAATTTGACTGTTCTCTGTAGCGCTCTGTAAAATGTTGTCCAGATCAATGAAACTTTGGTTATTTGCAGTACACCATAAGTGCTGAAAGTGCAGATTAGAGCTGCCCATCAAGAACACAGATACTTGGATTGTTTTAAAGACCTGATGCCTATATTTGTGACTTTTTGCAACCTGCACATGCTGGTTTGATGCTTTTCTTCTTCTGCATTATGTGCCCTATGTGTATTACTTCAGCCAAACACCAGATTTATATCCCGATACAGTAAAAAAAAAGCTAATATAAGCAAGTTGTGTTGTATGGCTTTTTTACCTTAATATTGTAAAAATAAAATTGCATGCAACACACTAAATGCTTTATAACAAATGACCTCATCTGTTTCAGGATCATAGGAAACTAGGGCCCAAAGGGACTTCACAAGGTCATCTGTTCCAGCCCCCTACTAAAGGTAGGATCATCCCTCACTAAACCATCCCAGGCAAGTATCTGTCTAACCTGCTTTTCAAAGTTTCCAAGGGCATAGATTCCACATCTTTTCTAGGTAGCCTATTCCAGTGCCTGACCATTACAATAGCCAAAAGTTTCCTTCTCAGAAGAACTTTTCCACTAAACTGGCAGACCTTGAGCATGAACAATTACATGTAATTTAACTATTGTGTTCTTGAAGATTTTTTTTCAAATGGCCGAAGCAAAACTGCATGTAAGCAATCTATTCCTATATGCTTTATGAACATCTTTTCATCAAGGGAGGGCTTTTACTTTCTGACTACAGAAATAAAAATAAAATTCCATTTTCTAAATTGTGGATGACGATGTTACAGTTTTAGCCTTCTAGATCTACCCACTAGGTGTTTTAATTTAAGGCTAGAGATATAAAAGGACTTGGGCGTGATGACACCGAGTATCACCACGCTTTTAGGCATCTGACTTTCTGAATAGAATCCAAAGAGTTTTGGCTTACCTTCCCCATTCAGTGGACCTTATAATCATATTCAGAGGAGCCAGGGCATTGAGCAACTACTAATTGTGCATTGGAGACCAGGTGATAGCGAGTAAATGCTAGTGACAAGGCAGCCTCACTGGTGAACTTTTTGCTCAGGAACATATAAATAAACCTGGCTTAGCAGGGCACAGGCAAGGTATATCAGTCCTGTCCTCCACAGGACCCAAAGCTATTGTGGTATGGACAAGTCATTGGAGGATTTGGCATCAATTTTGAGCTGTAGAAAGGCCTCCAGGTCTGACTGGGATTCACAGGCTAGAACTCTGTTGTGTTGTAAGGCACCTAATATGTTCCTTTGAAAATGGAGCAAGGGTGACTCTTTACTTTTAAAATGAAGTTGAATACTGAGTGAAGAAGAATCCTCCATCAAGAATGAGAGATCTGAGTTCTAAGCCATTGTCAGCCTGAGGAGGTTCAAAACCATGTTTTCTATCTCTATGAAGAGTACCCTAGCCACCAAAATAGTAACCTGTTCTCAGGTAGCGGCAAGGACTCTTTTTGTTGAAGACTTTGTCACTTTGCAAAAATGAGGGGGGGGGGGAAGGAGAAGAGGGGCAGGGGC